AAGACAAATATATTTTCTACAGAAAAAACTAGGATAGAAACTTACTTGAAAAAATGCCAACCATAAGGATATATGAAGACTAAGCATCTTAGTCAGAAAACACGCGCTAAATGGGGCGTTATAATTGAAGTGTTAAATCATAGACGCAAAAATTAGTGACACCACCTAGATAATTTTTTTTAAATAAAAAAGCATGCAATATCTTATTGAAATTAATAAACTAAATTGAGAAATATATATATAAAGATATATGTACCATTTTCTCTTTTCTTGATGCCAAGTAGTATAGAAAGCTGTAGGGAAACGTTAGTTGGCCTTAAAGCTAAGTTTAAACCGTACATTCTTAGTTCCTAAGGCTCAGTTTGCTGTTATAATACTGAAGATTTTTTCATATTGTCATGCAATGTTTCTATTAATTGCTTTACTTTATTAGATTTAAGGCTATTTAGTGTATGATTATGGATATATTCATAAACACACGATACACACAAGATGTGTGTGTGTGTGTGTGTGTGTGTGTGTGTGTGTGAATGTGTGTGTGTGTGTGTGTGTGTGTGTGTGTGTTTCATAGTAATTAAAACTAGATGGCTAATCTTGATTTTGTTGCAGTTGTTGACAGAATGAAGAAGATTTTTGGTATTTTATATCTCATTTTAGTTAAATTAAAAACATAAATCCACATTACACCTATACCCATGACACAAACATACAAATATAAGAGACAAAAGTTTTTTTGCTACTTCCGGACTTTTCAGCTTTTGTGGTTTCTACACCCGTATGCATTGAAAATCAAGTAATTTACGTTAATGAATACTTTTATAGATTAGAATAATTGGATGATGCTATATTACATCCTTTTTATTAAATGTGCAAACGTTGCAGCATTTTTTGGAGACAAAGTTGTTATTCATGCATATACATACATATGAGTGAGTGAGTGAATATTAATGTCGCACTGTTTAGATGCCCAAGGGCTTTTGGCGACGGACCACGTAATTTTGAACCATGGTCAAGAGACGTGGACGACACATGAGCTGGCATCCCCCTCTCCTAACTACCACACCAACGCGAGGACGTTTCATCTCTCAGCAGATTTAGCGTGCATCGCTGCAATACACGGCGAGTCTTTACGTTGGTATATATATTGTGGCATATATATATATTGAATTGGCATATATATATATTTATGCCAATTCATATATAAAAAGACTACTAAGAAAGCTAAGAATGGGAGAGGTTCTTTTATTTTAACTAACTTGAGTCTTTAATTATGTGACAAGAAAGATAGAAGAGAAAAAATACGTATTATTTTCAGCTCTGTGGTTAAAATTTTGTTATCCACTACGCCGTGTAGCTATAGATTCTCATAAATTTCAGAGGAAATGAAAAAACACATTCATCCTTATTTTCTCTGTAAGTCCATCTAATCTGTGAGTATTAATATCAAGAGTTCTTTTTTTAAAGGAAATCCTAATAATTAATTTTCTTAAAATGAAAATATTCCTCGAATTATGAAAATAGTATTTATATAGTAATTAAGAGTGTTTGGTGGTAAAAAAAATCCAATGTACCACTTTAGTTTTCCATTTTTCATTTATTTTTAGCGTTTTCTTCCTCTATAAGCAGCAATACCAGAAATACAGTTAAATTTATATTTTATTCGATAATTCTTACAAATTCTTAGTAAACATATGCATCGAAAATGCTGATAGGCATAGAAAATCATCATAAAATTAAATTCTAAGATCTGGTAATTGTTTCAACAATAAGGCTCTTACACTAAAAATTTACTTTCATACCCATCTTCTATCCTTAGCATAGTCTTAAAATAGCATTCCAATGAATCCATTGCTGTTTCGACAAGAATGTGCAGTAACTTTCGCAAAATTACAGCAAGGAGTCAAAGTAAAGAGAGTCGTAAACAGAATTGATTGTTAATTTTAGTTCCAAATTAATCAACTGTTTTGACACTGTACCGACCATTCATTAGGGATGCAGTGCTGGTTCCAAAATAGTTTCGAGGCAGATACGTTGATGTTTATGTTGTATTTTGTGTGATGTGTTTCGCTAATGAAGCAAGGTATTTATGCATTCAAATATTTATAAAGGCAAGAGACTTAGAATTGTCTTCCTTCGTATTGAAAATATACTATAATACATTTGTTTTAATCTTTTATGTATTATGAGTAATAATTTTGATTTGTCATGTTATATATAGTGGCTATTATCACCTTCAGACCATAGTTAATGTACCAAAACTAAATACACTCATTGGCTTCAATGGCAACATTTAATATTCCCAGCTTTCCCTGCACCATCGAATCAATCCAATCCCAGCTTTCCCTGCACCATCGAATCAATCCAATCCCAGCTTTTCTCGGTCTTCACCTTCATCGTGCATTGCAATTTCGACAGTAGGTTTTTTTCTAAAAAAATTAATTCGATAAGGCTAGATATAAAAATATAAATACTATATAAAGAAACTGTTAAATGTACCTGATGTTTGTTCTTAAAATTATTCAATAGGTACCCTCTCCTTGCAATAAGTGTTAAAAAGTACTTAAGTATCTGTTTTTCTTTAACAAGAATTACTTTTAACTTTTTTCCTTATAAAGTTCAAATATCTAAATTGCATTCCTCTTGATACATTTGATGACGGACTGCCTATCTGTGCATTTCAAGTTCAGAAAAAAAAAAATTATCAGAGCTAATGAATATCAATTCTGATGCAGAAATTGATCATGAAACTCTTATCAAAACTGTTGCATTTTCTAATGCTTTACTTTGTTTGGGAAATGGGAAAACATACCTTATGCAGCAAGATGTAAATGACACAGTATTTCCTTCTCCGCCTAAAGACGAAAAAAAATCTTTCTAGAAAAGAATCAAAAAGATTTCCAAACATCTATCAGTCATTAATTTACAATTTCAATCAACTGGAACGTAATAATTTAATAATAGTATTTTTAGCTGTTGAATAAAAATTGTGAAAATTTCTAATTATGGATATTTTTTGTGCAGTTGCTTATTAAAGAATTTCTAAAAGGTAAATGCAAAAAAAAAAAAATGTCTTTTGTTTTGACCCCAATATAACGAAAAAACCCGCTTTAACGCACAAAATGTTTGATGCCGATGAATTTGTTAAATCAGGGTCCGACTGTATATATATATAACATGGATTGAAGCAATTCTTAGATTGACAGGAGAATTGCAACGTGCAGCCGTTTATCATATTATATTTTATTTCAATATTCAGCAAAGCCATCTGTTCTCCAAGCCATGACAAAACGAATCCTATTTTCAGCCTCAATCAGAAGCCAGTGCGTCGTTCGTTCACGTGGTTCTTCGTGAGTTCACCGGAGTCGAAGTCAAAGTCCTTATGCGGGAGGCGGGTTGAGTTGTTCTGGTAGGTTTTACCCCAACTGATACTTGAAGGGTTGGGGATTCATCACATATATATAACAGCTTTGTAAGTAGAAGTTTTATTTTACGAGCAATCGATACATCCTTCGCTGAGAAAAAGTCAACGCCAAGTAAATAACCGATTGGATTTCGAAAATACTAATTACTCATACTTATTTCCAGAATTGCTAAATAACACTTTTTAGTTTATGTTTCCGGTTTCAAATTCAAACGCGGAAGCGTACATACAAAGACTATAAAATTTAATGAGCTGGGATTAAATATATTATATTTAGAATATCTTTTCTGAGAAATAATTAGGTTTTTATTTAAGCATCGCAGATGTTATGTGGAAAATAAAAGTTAAATGGTAAATAGGAGATTTAGTTTCAGATATAATTTAATTATCCTTATATATCACTATAAAAGAATGAATAATATACAAAAAAAATTTCTATAATAGAGATTTACTATGCAAACTTGACATTTGAATATAAAACAAAAATCTATTTGGTGAGAAAATTTTTTGATTTACATCTACATGCATTTGCACTGAAACAAGACAATTTTTATTCCATTATAAGCTACGAAATACTCCCTTTCTTAAAGAACAAAGAGTTTTTAGAAGCTTTGTGTTCTTTTACCCACCCCTCCCTCTTCTTTTTGTGACAATAAATTCTACAATCAAAAAAGTGCGTTCAAATTCAAGTTTTCCTTCTACGAGTTAGAGAAGATCGAATCTGTCCAGAAGATTTCCCAGAAGCTTAAATCCAGAAAAAGCGATAAATCAAAGAACTTTACTAGCCCAAAGAAAACGCAGTCTTTTCACTTTATCCTCCGACTCTTTCTCTCATGAGGATTACCAAACGATAGACTTTAAGGAGGAGGTGGTAGAGTGGGCAATATGAGGACGCATTGTTCTTGGAATTTTTCGAAGAGATTTGCAACCCTATTTTAATGTTGTTCGTAATCTTCTTTTCAATAACTCCCAGAAAGTCGAGTTTTAGTAAGAAACAGATCAAGCGAGAAGAGGGCTTCTCGGTTTATATTTTTCAAGAAGGGCGACCTATACTTATTCATGCTTAAATTTTTTCCTAGGCTGTATTTTTAACTGTTAAAGTAAGATTTGTTTCTTCTGATTTGTAAGGTCAGCTGATCGGTATAATCCTCGTTCTGGAGCTAAAAATAATTCCTTTTTGGTAACGTATAAGCCTTTGTGTTTCGGTGTTCAGTGGCATGGTATACATAAATCCACAAGCTCTTCAAACCGTTAAATTTCTCTATAAATGAATACAATACATTTACAATTTGTTTTGAATCATTCCTTTTTTATCATAGATGTCCGGTTACACAGGCCGGTTATTCTTTTATTTTTATTTTATTTTTTATTCTTCAATGATTTATATCAATCTTTAATAAGATACATTTTATTCATCCACTCAAGTTCAAATGCCTTTTTTAAACTTGTATTGATTGACATTTAATGTGAATACAGTTTTTTCAAATGTTAATCCATTAATTCCATTTGATTAATGAATAAATAGCAACAAAAATAACAGTCCAGCACTATATATAATAAGAAAAAGAGCTCAATGTGTGTCCCTGTAGCGCAATGGATAGCGCGTTGGACTTCTAATCCAAAGAGAGTGGATTTAAATCCCACCTGGAATGGCCTAGTTTCTGAGAAAGTGGTTTGCTTTTACTATATTATTTTGTCGGAATAATTAAATTTAATGAATGAATAAATAGTAACAAACAAAATTAATAGTCAAACACCCTACATAGAAGGGAAAAGGGAAAAATACAAGGAAAATCACTCTATCTATTTTGCCATTTAAAATTGTAATTACTGGCATATGTATATACATATTTATATTGATTGTAACTATTTAATAAAAAGTAACTGAAGTAAAATTTTTCTTTGTTGACCTAAGTAGGATTTGACTTATTTATTTTTTATATTAGTATTTTTTTTTTTTTAATAATTCATAGAGACAGAAGAGTGAAAAACTGCAGCCTTCCATACAAAGGTCCGCGGTTTGCCAACCTCTGTTCTAGAACATTTGAATAATTTTGTTTTGGATTTGAATAGGCGATGCCCCGCAACTATTGCAGTTAAAGGGGGTCTTATCTCTTACAAAGGGATTTTGCTTTGTTGCTCCCTCTCTTCACCAGACAGTGTCTAGAAATAACGGCATTTTGAAAATAAAGCTTTTTTCTGCTTCGTTCCATATTCTATGCGTCATTATTTTGTTTGCCACTATGATTTATTCTTCCTTCAAATATGGCATTCTGCACGCAAAATAAGAAAAGTTGCTAAAATTTTGTATGCTATTGCAGAGGTCGGCACCCTGCGGCTCGTGACGCACATGTGACTCTTTGGACGTGAAGCTGTAGCTCTTTAGATCAATACGCAAATATTATTAATTTTATCAAAAAAAAATTTAAAAATCGTTCTGAATCGATTAACGAGGATTAGCCCCGTTTCTATCTCTCAGCCAACTGTACTCCCTTTTAACCGCACTCTTCCCCCGTGACATGCGTCGCCACTTCCATCAGTCCATCGGAAGCTTTCGAATGACGCCGTCGCTGGATATTTCTATATAGGTTTTAATTCGCTTTCGACGCAAGACAAATTGGCGTCTTCACCAGTGCTTTGGCTGTGACGTATAGATTGTTATTTCAAGTAGAAGAGTTACAAGTGAATTATCCTCTCAAAGGTATGTATGTACATATGTAATAATAATAATAAAACCGAAGCAAAGGTAAGTAACATAATAAGTATTATACACTCATGGACAAAAAAAAATTAGCGCACCAAGAAATAATTGCGGGATCTTAACGAAACTTGGCATGAAGGTACATGTCGGTAAGAAAAGCAAATAATTAGAAATGCAGCGTGATTGCGCATTATGTAAAGCCTATAGAGGGCGTTTAATGTCGTTCTCCGTGGAGTATAAAAAAGGTAACCAAAGCTTGTTTGAGTGTGCTGAATCATTTACAAAGGAAGAGCTGAGGTAGACATGCCATTACGCTATTTTCGAAGACAATATGGACAGCTGACGTAGTTTGAGAGGGGTAGAATCATCGGCATGATGGAAACTGGGTGGTGAGGTAGGCAAGTAGCTCGTCAATTAGGCCGCTCTGATTGTGTTGTGAGGAGGTGTTGGGACCAGTGGATCCAAAAGATGTCGTTTACACGAAGACCAGGCTCAGAACGCCTTATACAGACCAGTCGTCGAGAAGACCTCCACATAGTAAGAAATGAACGCGTACAGCCAACTGCTTAATCAGCCGCTATCCAGGCACAGGTAACACCTTCACTAGCAACCCCTATGTCTTCTCGAATTCTACGAAGACGCGTGGCTAAAGGAAAATTAAGATAGCGGTGCCCATTACGTGTGCTGCCTTTAACGCCCACCCATCGACTCCACCATTTGGAGTTGTGTCGCGCACGAGGGACTGCAATGGAATGGAACCAGATCGTCTTTAGTGACGAATCCAGATTCAATCTTAGCAGTGATGACAATCTTGTTCATGTGTGGAGACCCCGTGGTAAACGCCTCAATCTTGCATTTGCTTTACAGCGACACATCACTACTACGAATGGTGTGATGGTATGAGGTGCCATTAACTACAATACACGGTCACCCCTAGTATTGATTTGTGGCACCATGACAGTCCAGTCCATGGTATGTCCATGACATCAAGCAACCAAATGTGTTGCCACTCATGCAACGGGTCCCAGGAGCCATTTTTCAACAAGACAATGCTCGGCCTCACACGGCAAATGTATCACAAAACTGTCTCAGAGCTGTTACTACCCTTCCTTAACCTGTCTCCAATTGAGCATATCTGGGATCATTTGAGATGGCGAGTTGAGCATCCCCTGAATTTGAACGAACAAGAGGCAAGGTTACAGAAATTATGGAACGAAATGTCTGAAGACATCATACAAAACTTGTTTGCCTCAATGCCCTATCGTATTGCGCATTCGTGCTATATAGAGAGGGTTCAACAGGGTATTAAATCCTCTGTTCTTTTGCCTTTTTCTCTGAAATCAATGATCCTTTTTCTTTGATTTTCTAATCATTTAGTTATGTGACTATAAATATTACACTATAAATTTAATTAATCACTTATCCACTAGAAATCTATATCATATCTCTATCTCCCTCTTTCTCTTTAGCTGTAAAGCTTAGACTATATAGTAGACATAATTTACATTGCAAATAAAATAGTTTTAAAGGACCAAAGATTTCCCAAGAGGACTTGTTAGACAGAAGCACGCGGATAGAGCCGTCACACTACTGCTACGAAGAGACAAAATATTTTCAATGTGTTG